TATACAAGTTAGACTGATTGGCCTATAGTTTGACAAATCAGAAGGTACCACTAGCCAGCAGTGCCAGGTGCCCAGGAGTTCTTCCGGTAAATGAGGGTCATCCCACTCCCTCCTCTTGTCCCAAAATCTCTGGACTAGGACCTTAGCACGGGTGGTGAAAGGAACAATGTAACCAATAGGATCATACTGGCTGGCTAAGGTTCTATAAATGCTCCTCATCATAGTCACGGCACTATCAGTGCGGCGGTACTTGAAGGACAAGGTGTCACTCTGGCAATGCCACTGTAGGCCAAGCGTAGACTCTTGGCCCTCAGTTTGACCCTGACTGATCCAGAGGTCACTGCCGGTCAATCTGGCCTCAGTTGGGAGATGGCTAACTACTGAGGTAACATTACTTGCCTACTGCCTAAGGTCAAAACCACCGGTGGCCAGGAGATTTCTGAGGTTCTCCACCACTTCCCTGGCCTCGTCTTCTGATGGGAGACTGTGTAGACAATTATCTACGTAGAAAGATTTCTCCACAATCTGTCCTATGGCTACATTAGGAAGGCTGTGATTGCGAGCATGCTTCTCCAATGCATATACTGCGCAGCATGGGCTACAAGTCGTTCCGAAGGGCAGAACCTGCCACTCATACACCTGAGGTGGCTCCTCTCTCTAGAGATCCCACCACAAGAAACAGAGTAGGGGCCTATCCTCTGGTAACAATCGCACTTGGTGAAACATTGCCCGGATGTCACTAGAGATGGCCACTCTGTGCTCTCTGAACTGGAGGTGTACTGCAAGGAGGGAGGGGCCTAGAGTGGGTCCTGGTAGTAGGAGTGTGTTTAGGTTATCACCTTCATACTGGAATGAGCAGTTGAAGACCACCCTGTTCTTTCCGTTGTGCTGCACTAAGTGGTGGGGGATGAACCATGACTCTGGAGAATTTTCAACCTCTGCAGGGCTCACCTGAACAATGTATCCAGACTCTTCCAGTCTCCATCTCACTCTGGTAGGCTTCTGCACTAGCAGGATCTTTTGCTAACCTCCGTTCGATGCCTTTAAGTAGTGGTAGGGTGGCCTCTTTGGGTGCATACAGGGTTTTCATGTTCTTGACTCTCAGAAGGGTTGTAGCATAACGGGAGATTCCATCTACATAGAGACGCATCGTTTTGGCTTCCAGGGTGGTGACTGCTTCACAATCCTGTTTGGATCGGGTTATCTCTTTAGCATTATGGAATGGAAGGACATCCATCTGCCAGAGTCTCTCAACATCTCTGCGTAGCTCTTCAGAAGGTGATGAAACAGTTGTGAGGTGGCAACTCTGGGCTGCACTTCGGGACATCACTCCTCCAGTAGGACCTTGCAGTGTCCAGCCTAAACGAGTTCTAACTGCAACAGGACATCCCGGAGGTCCTAGACGTACAGGCTCCGTAGGTGTAATCAAGTGGGGGAAGTGTGAACCTATAAGGAGGACTGGGTGCACAGTACCTAGCGAAAGGCCCTGTAGATGCTGGTACCTATGCTGGAGAGTACGAGTGGGCTGTACATGTTCTGCTAGACCCAGCATTTTGGCTGTGAAGGCACCCTCTATCCAAAACATCTTACTAGGCCGTGATGCTGGTGTGATGGAGAATGACACAGTAGCTCCACGTATGGTCTTGACATCTCTCTGTACTGTGTGTAGACTCAGGTCCTCAGGTACTCCTTCTATATTTAGCTGACGAGCCGCACTATGAAGTAGAATGATCCTTTCTGACCCATCATCTAGTATAGCGTAAGCTTCCATGCTACAGTCTCCAGCCCTCAGCACCACCTTAACCATTTTAAGCAGAACCTTCCGTCTTTCTCCAGGTGTATCAACGCGGTGTGGTTCACAGACGGTGCTTGTCAGACAGGAACTCACCTTTAGGTCTACATCTTGCTGACTGTGTCTCTCTTGTGACCTATCTTTGCTGGGTGACTTGACATTCAACTTGTGGAGAATGTGTAGGTATCTGCGGTTACATACCTTACAAGATGACCTCAGGGTGCACTTTGCTACGTAGTGTCTGCGGGCACAATGCCAGCAACGATGGTTGCTCCTTATCCAGTTTTCCTTTGCTTCTTTTATGAGCTGTCTGAAGTCGCCACAGTGGTCCAGGTAGTGACCAGAGGTGTCACAGAAGGGGCAGTAGGCCTTGGGACTCTTCTCAGTCATTGTGTACTTGCCTTCGGCCATCTTCTCTGTTCCGAGAAGGAGAGAGGTAGCCTTCGCCGATGAACATTTGTCCTTCATCGATGGTCTTTTGCTTGTCTCGGAGCCTCTTTGCTGTGTTGGCCTCACTGCATCTTCATGAACCTGCATCTCAAACTCCAGCCAGTCTGCAAGGTCAACTAGTGTTGGTATTGGTACTTTCAGAGGGTGTACGCTTCTTCTAAAGTTGCTTCGCAGGTCGTGTGGGAGTTTGCTGAGCAGCCTCGAAACATGTGATCCACATTGCAGCTGTATGTTCCCCTTTCTACCCAACTGTTCCAGCATGCTGACTAGTGAGCGCACCCGAAGTGCAAACATCCAAAAGGCCCTCACATCTCCACTCTCTATGTTCTGTCCGTCCATGAGCTCTGCTATTCTCACTAAAGCCAGTTGATGAGGCTGTCCAAACTGTTTGTTTAGAGCTTCCATTTTATCCATAAAGGGACGAGGGGAGTGAGCATATGAATCGGCTATAAGCTGGGCTTCTTCGAATTTGAGGTGATCGGTGAGGACTTGAAACTTGAACCTTTCAGTGGCATCAGCAGGTAAGACATTCTCCAGAGCGGTTCTAAGGCGAGAAAATTCCCTAGGGTCAGCGTGTGTAAAGTTAGGGATAGTTGGGGGAGGTCCTCTATATGTCCTCTCTTGTTCTGCCCGGATATGGTCAGGGGAGACATCTGTTAATTGAACAGATCTGATTGGGGTTTGGTTATCACCTGGCCATGTGCTGGAAATAGCCTGAGGATCGACACTTCTGCCCAATACGTTCCTGTTGATCCTGTCCAAGTACACCCCCGTAAACCTGGGTAGGGGCGGTTGTCTATTAGCTGTGATTGGTGATGGGACCGAGCTCTGGGGTCTTAGCAGCTCTTCAACTTCTGCTGAACGATCTTGTACCGATTGCTGCATGGGTGGCATACTAGTTGAGCTCGAGCATCTGGTTCTAGGTGCAGGTGTGGGTGCAGCAGACATCTGAGCCCTTAGGCTGGTGCTGGGGTACTGTATACATTACCCCTGGGTGCTGGCACTGGGATATGAGCAGGATATGGATCTTGTCTCCCTGACCTTGGAGCTGCCAACCACACTGTGGGCATACTGGTCATAAGGTGTTCCATCCTCAGCTCCATCTCTCTAAGGGCTCTAACTAAATCTGGGAGTTGCTCAGCGTTGTGGTGTATTTCGTCAATCTGGCTCATCAGCTGATCGTGACTACGGTGCAAGTCATCCCGCTCTTGAACGTGCTCACTAGTGAAGTGAAGTGCTCACTAGTGCCATGTTGAGGATAATCCGAAGCTCGCAAAGCAGTATTATTTCCCGCAGTATCCTCATGAGGACTCCACCGATCTACCTCGGTCCAGGAGTTCTGTGACAGGCTTATAGGTGTTCTTTGTGGCACTGGGTCTTCCCTTTCAATTACAGGCTCTTCATATGGTCTGGTGGATGTAGCGCTCCTCTGTCATTCAGGTCATAGTCCTGAAGTTAATTTGGCATATGAGTATGCCTTCTTGGACAAACTACTGGCTCTTCAGTTAGACTTTCTTCTCTATCTGGAGAAAACATGAGTACGGTAGTAATTCCCTACCCGGCTCAAAGGACCAACTTCGTAGCTGAGGAAACTATATCCGATGCTCTGAGCTAGGCTGCCGGTGTTGATTGAGATGGAACCGCTGCCGATAGGAAAGTTGCGATCGCCTTAAGTAATGCATTAATTAAGCGGCGATTGTCTGCCGCTGTGCTGCCCTGCCCCTGTGGGCATGACATTGACTTCCACTCGTACATTTCTGTTAGCCCGTTGCGGAACGAAGCGGGGGAAAAAAATGAATAAGGCATACATCTCGCCCCGCCCCATCCCGCAGGCTGCAGCGAGGTGTACTTGGGCCAAACGGGGAAGGGACAGAGTGAGACAACAGGGGCTGACCCTGAGACTAATATGAGCCTGTGGCACTTGGACATATTTGTTGGAAGGGTAGTCAATGAATTAACCTACCAGCCGATTGATGAATGTCTTGCAGAATTTACATGCAGAGATACCAGAGCACTTATCAAGAGAAATAACAGAAAGAGTCTGTTCATCTCAAGTGTTTATTTATAGATTCTGATCAGAATGTGTTCTTTCTCTCTTTTTCTTTCTAGGAAAGGTTTCTGACTGGAAAAACCATTTCACTGTGGCTCAGAATGAGCAGTTTGATGAAGTCTATCAGAAAAAGATGGCAAACACCACCCTCAGGTTCAGGACAGAAATATAGCTTGCAGTGTTCGAGTAAAAGGATACTCAGGCTCATGTACCTGTGCTGTTCAAAGGGCTTCCACCAGATGGAGCCAAAGATTTCCAGAAGCAGGATCAGCCTGAATGAACATCACAGGCAAGATACAAGATACAAGATACTTTTTTTGTCACATACATAGTTATACAAGTACAACATGTAGTGAAATGTACCCTGAACGACCCTTAGACTGTGCAAATCAAAAGCAGAATTAAGAATTAAGTCAGCAAGTTAAAAAATCATGATTGTAATAAACTAAAAGTTAAAAAAAAACTAGGAATAAAATATATACATAGTACAGAGATATATAGAAGTTGTTCTGATATAGAAAATAATCTTAAGGTTTAAACTGTACATGTGCATATGATGTTAGAACTATGTATTTAAAGTGCAGTGTGACTTGTTGCAGGTGACATACGTGTAAATATAAGCAAAGATGGATATGCAATTTACAAATTGTTAAAATAGCTGGTTGGTGACAGGTAGGAAGAGTTTACATGAGTTGTGTATATTATGGATGTAGTGGTGGCATGTTGGCATGTCTTGATTAAAAAGTCGTACAGCGTGAGGATAGAAACTCCTTCCTGAGTCTCTCTATTTTTACCATAATACTCCTAAAGTGCCTGCCTGATTTCAGCAGCTCAAACAGACAGTTACTGGCATGAGACGAGTCTCTGATGATCCTGATTGCTCTGCTCTGGCATCTCCTGGTATAAATGTCCTGCAGAGACGGTAGAGAAGATCTGGTACAGCGCTCTGCTCCTCGAATCACTATCTGTAGTCCCTTAATGTCCTATACACAGCTTTTTCCATACCAAGATGTGATGTTCTGGGTCAGGACATTGTCCACAGCACCGGAGTAAAAAGTCCTAAGAATCACTGGAGAAACCTGAAACTTCCACAGCTGTCTTAGGTGGTAAAGATGCTGCCTCGCCTTGCTAGACTGGGCTTGGACGTGTTCTGTCCATGTCAGATCCTCAGTGATGCTTACGGCCTAGATATTTGAAGCTCTCTCTCTCTCCACTGCAGTCCCATTGATGTAGAGGGGGAGAAGGAGCGCTCCTTACTCCTCCTGAAGTCCACCAGCAGCTCCTTGCCCACATGGAAAGAACCTATATGAGGATATACTGTATGCGCATATATGAAACCTATATGCAGTATATATGCATATATATGATAATATATATGCTGCATATATGGTATATATGCCACATATAGGCAAAATTGAGGTGCATATATGTGCATATACAGGCCATATAAGTCTCCTGTATTGCTTCTTTATATCCACATATAAGCCCTATATGTACATACAAGATATGTCTCCTATATAGCTCATGGCAGGATCTGGTCATTTTAGCTCATATCTCACTTTGGCAACTGTCATACATGATGCCTAGCTCATATTTTCTATTATCAAGGCAATAACTAAGAACTAACTAAAAAAAAAAAAAAAACTTATGTGCGAACACGTGAAATGGGTATCACATGTAATTGGCATGTTATGGAATTTAACTATGGCAAATAAGTGAGAGGAGATGGAAAGCTATGATGTCTACACGTTTTCCTGAAACATTTACTATGCAGTCCCATGAAACATTTACTATGCAGTTGTATTTAGAAGAACATTTCTTTTTCACGCCAACCTTCGGAGGGAGAGGGAGAAATAGAGGAAAAAGAAAAAGCAATTTAACGGCAACAGTGGCACAGATGGGAGAGTGGGTCGTCCCATGATCGGAAGGTCGGGGGTCTGAATCCTGGCTCCTGCAGGTGCAGACTGCTGTTGTGTGACAAAACACTTGCTAAATGTAAATAAAAAAATTCTACATTTTGGGCTTTTATTTATGTTGTCTAGCAGCTATGGATTTTAATAATTTTAGTAATAATAATTTAATAATAATTTAATAATAGGTGAACATATAGGTAAACATGTACAGTATGTGCATATATGTACATATAATATAGGAAAACGGCCAATTTTATATATGTCACATATATTAAAAACCTATATCAAAACCTATATTAAAACATTTATGTTTATATAGGCTATTTCCGTGTGGGTTGGTCTTGCTGACATTAAGTTGGAGGCAGGTCTCCTGGCACCACGATATCAGGTTATCCACCTCCTCCTTGCAGGCTGTCTCAATGTCATTGGAGACGAAACCCAGCACCACTGTGTCATCAGCGAACTTGATGATGGAGTTGGAGCTGTGTGTGGCTACACAATCTCTAGTATAGTGTGTGTAGAGGAGAGGGCTGAGCATGCATCCTTGAGGAGCCCCTGTGTTGAGTACTCTGCTACTCAGAGACAAGCGTCACGCGAGAGTGGCGGGGCACCACGCGCAGTACCGACATTGTTGTTGAGGCGCTTCTGTTGTTCCCAACACCCCCGCCGCCGTTCTCACGGTCAATACAGTAGCGACACTTTTATTTCTCCACTTCGAGTACTGCTTATACAGATCACCATATTAAACACCAGTCCAATTGATGCTTCCAGTTATTAGCAGAATACACAGACAGCGCTGTAGACATGCAGCAGACCAGACGCATAGCACCTCAAACCCGCTTTACATTTAGATCGATACAGGGGTACGTGGTTAATGTTTATGCTATTGCTTGTGTATATAAAGCTTATTCTCATATCATCATATGGTAATGACAAACCTGCTAATCCAGCATTTGTTTTTCTGACATCCCGGGACACGCCTCCTCTTTGTCTGGTTTAGGCAATGGTGTAAAATTAGTCTTCAAACTAATTTTAAAAGTATGAGCTTATAACAGTGAGCAACATTCTCCCCTTTGTGTTAATTCCATATTAATTTGGGGATTCAGTGTATAAATGATGATGATTATAAGTATAAGTCTGCCTGTCCCTCTTGCCTCCTCCCTAATGGGCCACACTTGATGCTTGCTGCCTCATGTTAGTCTGGGTATTTAAGAATCTGTTTGTCTCGTCCTTGCTAGTCCGGTCATTGACGTCATGCCCTCGTGTTGCCTGTGCCATATATTCCCATATATAATGACTAATGGAATGGCAAGGCTGTTATACTGAAGACCTCACTTGGGCCACCTGCACTGCATCCTCTGGTAAGACGTAGATCAGGGGCATCCAAATCCAGTCCTGGGGGGCCGGAGCCCTGTTCCACCACAAATGATTCAGCTCAAGAACTGTGTAGTAATTAGCACAAGGAGTTAAATCAGGTGTTAAATGAGGGGAATCCAGAAAATCTGCAGGGGCTCCGACACGCTGCACTCGCTGTGGAAGCACACAGACTACTGTGCAGTCACAGACACACTGTGGATGTAGGAACTCAGATGAAGTTCACGTGCAGCAAATGGGGAGGAGTGGAAAGACAGTAAACAATGGCAGTAAAATAGAACTTCGTGAAAAGGGTGGGGGGGGGGGGGGGGGTTATGCAATGTCACTGTACTAAGGAAGGAAAGGCCGACAAGCAGGAAGTTACACTCATAAATTAGACACTATTTTAGATACTGTCCGAAACAGTGGAAGCAAAAGAGTTCTGGTGCAAAGCTGAAGCTCCTGGAAGAGAGACGTAGTTCATAATCTGAGGAAAATCGAAAGAGAGAAAGAGATTTAATACAGAGGTGAGTCAGCAGTTCTGTAACTACCCCATTAACTTCAGGGGTTATTTTTAACAGTCATTTGAGGATTATTATTATTATATAGTAATATTTATAGAAATAAATATTAATAATTGATAAATAATATTTTTAGAAATTAAAAAATTTAGCTAAGGAATCAAATTCTACAATATACACTGTAGCCTGTGTGCATTTGTGTGTGTGTATATATATATATATATAGTAATTGATAAGATTTTCACAAGTAGTCTTATTATTAAGGGTCCAAAGCACGAAGTGCTTATGGACCATTATTGTTATATTTAGAGTTTCAGTCTAAAATTGCACGGTGGAAGACGTGTGTGTGTGTGTGTGTGTGTGTGTGAGCGGGTTTACCGATCCTTATGGGGACACAATGTCCCCATAACGTGATAAATATCCG